ACCCCACCTGGAGTCCTGCGTCCAGCTCTGGAGCCCTCAGCATAAGAAAGACACGGACCTGTTGGAGCGGGTCCAGAAGAGGACCATGAAAATGATCAGGGGGATGGAACACCTCTCCTATGAGGAAAGGCTGAGAAAGTTGGGGTTGTTCAGCCTAGAGAAGAGAAGGCTTTGGGGAGACCTTACTTGTAGCCTTTCAATACTTAAAGGGGGCTTATAAGAAAGATGGGGACAGACTTTTCAGTAGGGCATGCTGTGATAGGACAAGGGGTAATGGTTTTAAACTAAAGGAGGGTAGATTCAGGCTAGATATAAGGAAGAAATTTTTTACTGTTAGGGTGGTGAAACACTGGCACAGGTTGCCCAGAGAGGTGGTGGATGCCCCATCCCTGGAAACATTCAAGGTCAGGCTGGTCGGCGCTCTGAGCAACCTGTTCTAGTTGAAGATGTCCCTGCTCATTGCAGGAGGGGTTGGACTAGATGACCTTTAAAGGTCCCTTCCAACCCAAACCATTTAAAAAAAAAAAAAGGTCCTGCAGCAGTCTGTGGAGGAGAGCGTTAGGTGGCCTATATGTAGGGTTGCTACCAGCTCTGTCAGAAAATCAACACATTGCATTTTGACTAAAAATAACATCTTTGTGGGCAGGATCTGCCCTTTGGCAAGTGCAGAGCAGGTCTGTCTCATAAGGACTGTTGTCATCCACCTCTTACGGGACAACAGGGTTGCAGGCACTTCTGTGACGGGTGAGTCCCCTTGTCACCTGGAGTGTCCCAGTACAGATACCGCATCCATAACACTCATCAGACTCCTTCTTCCTGTCCTCACCACAGGTCTTACCCTTCAGAGAGGTTACTGAGCCGGACTCTGCATGGTAGCTCGTTCATTTGGCTGTCATTAGCCTTCCAGGAACAGAGAAATGTTCTTACCAAAAGCGCGTGAGCTCATTAAATGTCAGCGCTGCCCTCCACATTGGTCCCCTTTGATCAGAAAAGTAAATTTATGCTTGTGAGAGAAATGAGACTCAGCAGGCTGCCCCCAGTCCACCTCTGCCTTTAAAATGCCATTGAAAATACTCTCATCTAAGGTGTTTCATACTTACGGGTCATAATTATGGGTTGTGTTCCTTTATGGCTAAAATCTTTGATCCTGACAGGATTCAGTCTTTAATTTTACGCAGTTTTAATTGTTTGGCTCATTTCTATCTCTGCAGTCCTTTGAGTCCTACCTCCACTGAGACATAACGTGCTGCGTGAACACATTTAGTATTATCTTACAGATTCCCATAAGGCTGAAAATGCTTGCAGTTGAGCTTGGGTCTCAGATAAACTCTCTTCAGGCTGAGATTTAATGTCACCTCAGGGGTTGTTCATGCATCAGGAACTTGGTAGCGCAGTGGAGATGCTCTGCCTGACATGGTCTCCTACAGCAAAGCATGGTAGTTTATTGGGGCAGTTGTGGCGTGCCAGGGCATTGCCAGAGATACTGATCAAAGGTTGGACCACAATTTCTTGGCCTGTTACAAATGGGTTTTGCTGGCAACGTGTTACGTCCTCCAAGACCTGATGACTTGCTTTGGTGGCTTTGTCCTATCTCTAATTTTTATTGACGATAAAAGAAGGTTCTAACAGGTAGCTGTATGGCTAACAGAAGGGGCAAGTTATCTTCTGTGTTTGTGCAACTCCTTGAAGGTGGTGGCCTTATAATTAGAAATCCCGGTATTGTACACTGCTCCTGGGGCTGTGCAGATTTCTGTTTATTCAAACAGGCTTCTGCACAGTGCAAGCCACTTGGCAAAACAACACAGGGTGCACTTCCTAGGATCATCTTGTAAAGGAATGCATAAATCACTTGTTTACAAGTCCTCAAAGGAATTGTATCGATTTGAGGTAAACACTTGTAAATGGTAATAAATAGCCATGTAATGGTCACATAGATGGCTTTCAATGTTATTTTCATTTAAGGCGAACACAGGTTTCAGCTCTTATGTCTGCACTCCAAAAGAATAGACCTTATTTTATTCCAATAATAAGGTGTGCGCAGCAGTCTGCTTGTTATGCATCTTTACTACCCTGCAGTGATGGTCACTGCCAGCAAGTTTTTCTTGCATGTAAAGGGGGGGAAACCTTAATGAAGTTCTGTTCCATGTCTGTTAAGTGAACTATGTTTTCGTATTGCAGTTAAAATACTTGGAAGGTATTTGGACTCAAAAATGTGAAGTCTGAAACTTAGGGCATTGGGGTTGTTCAGCCTAGAGAAGAGAAGGCTTCAGGGAGACCTTATTGCAGCCTATCAGTACTTCAAGGGGGCTTATAAAAAAAGACGGCGGCAAACTTTTGAGCAGGGCCTGTTGCGACAGGACAAGGGGGAATGGCTTTAAACTAAAGGGGGGTGGATTTAGACTAGATACAAGGAAGAGATTTTTTACGCTGAGGTGGTGAAACACTGGCACAGGTTGCCCAGAGAGGTGGTGGAGGCCCCATCCCTGGAAACATTCAAGGTCAGGCTGGAGGGGGCTCTGAGCAACCTGTTCTAGTTGAAGATGTCCCTGCCCATGGCAGGGGGGTTGGACTACATGACCTTTAGAGGTCCCTTCCAACCCAAACTATTCTATGAAAAGATAGCAGCTAAAGCCAAACACATAGAAAATAAAAATCCAAAATGCTTAAGATGTCTGGAAATTCCTCACTTACAGCCCTCGAACCAGGCAAGGTCTCTTCAGAGCTCAGGATATTGTGGGACTTTTGTGAGCCTAAGCATTTCCAAATACCTGCTCTACAGATCTTTCTGGAGCATCAGTAATGTTGAAAGCTTGCTTCAAAAGGCAAAAATCTCAAAAGGTTTTTTGTGGCGCTTGGTTTCTTTTTTTTCCCCCCATAGCTGCTGATTTTTCATAGGCTATAGCTGAGCCATACCCCCTTCTCGTAGTCTTTAGTTACTAGAGTCCAGCTAGGAGTCTTCAATTTGCTTTTGAAATATTAAGCTAGGGGGAAACCATTCTAAAGCAAGGCTTGGCACATGTACAGATGAGCCAAAAAGCATCAGCTTTTTCCCAGGAGCAAGATTCCAGCTGGAACTCAGCACCTCCGTGAACTTGCAGTGCAGCAAAAGGGAACAACATGCCAAAAGACTCTTGCAGATTGTGGCTGAGGTGCTTGGGGGTCAGGCTGGAGCTAGGAAACCTCAGGGCATCTTCTGTAATAGACAGCACCTTCCTGGATTATTGCTTTGTGATTTTTTTCCTGCAAGTCATGAGCAATTGGGTGAAACACTGTCCCTCCCTAGAGCACCTGCATCGCACGTGCTGGCAGGGCAGTGCTGCAGCCAGCAACAGCCAATCCAGCCCCTGGGCTGCATTCTGCATGCAGGAAGGGTTCGGGTGGCAACACGCTCCACGTGCTGCCCCGCTGCCTCCTGTCTCTGCTGTGCCCTAATGCGTGCCATCGCATGTTGGGATGCAGTGAGATGGAGAGGTGCCTCCAGCTTGTGTTTCTGCTTGGTTCCGTCATGTGGAATTGTTTCCAAATCCCAGGTCCTGATAGTTTTGTGGGGTTTTTTTTTAAGTACTATTCATCAGGCTTCAGGCTGCAAAGCAGTTAAACAGAGGAACAACCTGTGCCTGTCACTGCGCAGCCCAGGCTGTGGGCAACTGCCCCTTTCATTGCAAGGGCTCATTAATGACAAAATGTAGTGCTGCTGAACTAGATACAGGTAAGGTACTTAACTGCAGGACAATGTTCATGGAAGTCCAGCTATCCATCTGCCACAGCCTCTGGTTCTCCCTGAGTAACTTCAATACAAAATTCTTCAATTCACTGGGCATCTACAGTGAACGAAGAAATTGGCAATCCATGCTACATGAAACCCTGCTCAGGATATTTACAGACTTCAGTATAAACTGAAGTACTCCTGTATATAAAACCTGTGGTTTAGGAATATCCCTCTTATCTCTTCTCCAGTTAGAATCTTGCTGGTAATTATTTATGTGTAAAGAGGAAACGCACTGAAAAGAGACTTCAGGCATAAGAGGCTGTTGGGAGCTCCAGCTTCGCTTATCTGGTCTAATTCTAGTTGGCTACTCAGCATAGCTCTGCTAGGGGTGTGAAGTCCCAGGGAAATCTGGAGATGGCAGGAGGGTCACAAAGTAGGACTGGGCTGTGGTTGCTCAGAGGACGTGAAAGAGCAGAGGTGCAAGACCAGGAAGCAGAGAGTCTGGTATAGCAAGGATGGCAACCAGGCAAAGCCAGGCTTCTTCCTGACTCAGTATACCACTTCGGCTTTTTCAGAAGAGCTCCAACTCTTCAACAGCCTGAGAAGAAATAAACATAATCCTGGCACTTCCATCACCCATGCTAGAAAGCTATACCATGCCGTGGTGACTAGCCGGTACAGTGCAAAAATCTCTTTTGTAGGGCAGCTTTATTTAACTTTTGAAAAAATAAGGTCAGAAATTTAGGCCAATTAGTGTGAGCAAAGCTCAGCAGGTTCACATCTCCCTTATGCAACCAGATCTCTAAATACTATTTGCATATTTTAAACACTTTTTACAGTCCTTTGAAATATGATTTTTCTCTAACTAGAATCTTGTATGCTGTTTCTTGGATTTTTTAGCATTTAAGAGCTGCATGTGTTTTGTGTCTTAATTTGCAATTCTCTCCCCACTTCATCTTCAATAAAATATTTGAATAAATTTTCCTGTGTGTTTACAATTGCAGTTGGAATTACAGGTTGTAAGTTCAGTCAGTTGCCAGGGTTAGGAAACTGTAATGAGCTCTTTCATTATATAGATTAAGCACCAAACTTTAGATATGTGTTTCATGGGTATGCAGTTTATTACATTTGTAGATCTGCTTTGTCTTAAGGCATGTGTTTTATTCTTTGACAGCTGAGACATACACCTCCTAAACTGAAGTAGGGCTTGCTGTTTTGGAGATACTACTGATTCTAATGCCTTAATTAATTTTGCTTGTTTCTAATGTGTTAATTTATTCTGTTTACACAGAGACTTTGCTTATGTGGCAAGAGACAAAGACACAAGAATTCTGAAATGTCATGTGTTTCGATGTGACACACCAGCAAAAGCCATCGCCACAAGTTTACACGAAATCTGCTCAAAGGCAAGTGGATTTAAAGTCAGCTGCATTCGTCTGTTTAGAGGTCCCTGAGCCTAATACATACAATCAGTGTTAGTTTAGTTTCTATCACTGGCAATGAGAAATGGAAAAATTTGTAAGGAAAAGATGTGAATGGATGGGAGTAATGGGAGGGTGAGCATTTAGATTTGAGGAGGATGAGATGTGCTTTTGATTTGACAAGCGTGTATAGAGACTGAAGGTTTTCTTGAATAATAAAGAAGCTGCGGGTTCAAAATGGAAAAAGAACATGCAGCTTCAATTAATAATAAATGGTGATGTTAAACTCTGTAAGTAAATCAGACCTCGTTTGAATGGTATCGTTCAATGGTATTATCCTGCAGGACAGACAGGAAAATAGTTGCTAATGTTACTCTGCCCACGGAAAAAAAAAAATCAGGGAGAAGAGGGGGTTGAAGCTACTCCGGTTACAAATACTAAAGGATCTTAGTTCCTGCTTGTGGTAGTGTTGTCTGTAATACTGGAGAGGACTGCTCTTTTCAGTCGTTTTACCTTACAGATTTGCCACCATTCCCTGGTTACTAATTTTGGTTTTCTTGCATGATCAGTTGATGAGTGTCCTCTGTACGGTCATTTCATGCAGCGGTAGCAAGGCAGCACATCCTTTACAGCATGCAAATCTGCTTGAAACGCTTTATAGAGAGGCAGTTAAACCAATCTAAACTCTTCTTTATTCTTTTATTTAGCTGTGGTGGATTTGAGGCTGCATCCCCCTTTTTAAAATGATTATGCTGCTCATTTTGGTTTTCTTAAAACATGTCAGTTTGCACCACAGGAAAAGCAGGCTGTGGGGATCGCTATTGGTTATCCCTGCGTAACTTGTCCTTCCTCTTGAGTCACAGCTCTTCCAGAAAAGCTAGTTGGGAAACCTTCAGGTTTTAAAATTCTGCTGATTTACTGTATGCTTGTCATTTGCTTTTTACGTTTCGTCTTCACGTTAGTGAATGGAATCAGTGATGTCAAATTTCCCTCTGTAGCCAGTTGTATAGTCTAAAATTTTTTCACTTTTGCAACGCTGCAGATGTTTCATGCAAACAACGTGAGCATTTACACAGTGTGCATTACTGTAACTACCTGGGCAGCAGAGTTTTGCCTGAGGCAGAGGCAGAAGGTAGCCCAGCAACTGTGCAAAGCCTGGAAGGTCTGTCCGGGCTTGGGTGCCCAAGGAAATGCAGGTGGCGGGACTCAGGGAGCTGCTCAGGTTGGCCAGGGAGCTGCAGGCTGTGCTTGGTGAAGTTTTAACACCGGGGACTGCAGCAGTAGCTGACTGGAGAAGCCTGGACCAGTTATGTCCCTCCTCTTTCTCCTCTAACTCTCAATTCCCACAGATGTTTCTGGCAAGTCTAGCAGGGAAAAACATGCTACTCAGGCCCTACCACAACTACTTTTATCCAGTAAGGTCAACATCAAGTAAATGCCACGGTAGCTATACACAGGAGTATTGGAAAGGGAGTAGAGCTGTCACATATGTAACTATGACATGAAACTCCTGGCATTAATTTTAGATAAGAGAGCAACTAAGCATTTAAAAACCATAGCACTAATAGTAACACAGAATAAAACAGGATAGTGTTAAGTAGAGCATGTTCCTTTGTAATTCAGCAATACATGTAATCCTGATTCAGGGAAGCAGTTGGCATGTGCTAACTGACACGCTGGACCTCTTTGCTGAGTCAGGGCTTCTTCCTAAGCTAGCATGTATCGTTTTTCATCTGCAGGGGGGAATATTGTCATGTGTCCCTGTAACAGAAAATACTTTCAAAATATAAAACCTAAAAAAAAAAACCCCAAGAAATTTGCTAGAAGCACCTTCAGACCAAGTGTCATCTGCTGGAACACCAGTTGTCTTTATAGCTTAATTACAATTAACAGTCATAGTGTAAAGAAGCAGATAGCAATGCTTCATATACGAGCTTTGGAAAACCTCTATTAGCTTCCCTAGGTCCTTCCTCAGTCATATATTTGTAGGGAATAATCATCCAAAGTGGTTATTTTGAAGCAGGGGGGGGGTTGGGGTGTTGTATTTTGCATGGGATTTTTAATTCCAGAAGAAACATAAAAATGGAGGAAAAAATTATACACGGCGGAAGATATATCAGAGAGGAACATGAATAATGAACACGCTGTGTGTTAAATATTTATATTTCTTGCTGTATTACTCCTCACTGCAATTTTGCTGTTGATAAAGATGGCTAGAGTTTTTTTTCTGCCTCCATCTATCTTTCATCTAGGCTTGGACCCCACTTAAGTTCTTTATGTAGTTAAGGAATGGTGAATAAACTGGAGGAAAATTAAAGTTGTAATTTAAAAAGAATAACCTGTTTAGTCATGTAGCTTCTGACTTATTTCAGGTCTTAGAAACTAGGGTTGTAATAGGAGTAAATTTATACTTGTAGTTGCTACTGTACTATATTTTCAAAAAAATTGCTGTATTATCACCATCTTCTTCAGATTATGGCCGAACGGAAGAATGCTAAAGCTATGGCTTGCAGCTCATTGCAAGAGAGGACAAATGTCAGCCTTGATGTTCCTCTGCAAGGTACTGTGTGTTACAGCTAGTATCCCTGGCATGGTCCTATTTTAGATATCTTTCGTTTCTGATGCTGCTTTTGACCAAAATGGAGCGTGTTGGGTGGAGAGGTCAGGAGTGAAGCCTGCCTGTTAATTACTGAATCTGACTGTAACCTGTTACTGTATTACAGTATATGTTTTTATTGGTTATGTTGACAGTAATGGAGTCCTGCTCAGCTATGTCAACTTGTGCATTTCCTCCTTTATTTTGAAATACAAATGTTGCAAAGGCAGCCTTACTTATTTGTGGCTACTTGCACGTATTGTCCTTTTCAAATCAAAATACCTCCTGACTTGAGACTGCAGAAATTGGTCAAATCTTCCTTAAAACCAGAATATACTCCAGTTAATCACTTGGATTCAGAGGAGCTGTAGGAGGACTTCTCCTAGGTTTCAGTATCTATTTTAGGAACCTCCAAGGCAAGGGGTGCAAGTGGGTTGTCATCCAACTTAAGGGTCTTTTGCACACTCTACTGCACAGTAGAAGGTGGGTGCCTTTGCTTGCCTTTATTAGTCATAGCTTAATAGTTGCTATTTTGAAAGCATTCCAGGAGAACAAATATACTTTGTGTTAGTTTTACAAGAAATTATATGCTTCTAGATCCACCAGTTTATACTGAATATCTTACTCCTAATCCATACATCAACTTGTGTAATTGTCTGCTCAGACAGCAGTATTGATTAGTCGTAGACTGTGTTTAACATATTAACAGGGATGGTATTAAAAACAGATTCCAGATTTTACATAGTTAAGCAGTGAAACTTAGGTCTGTATGTCTCAGAGACACATTCATCTATATTTTCTGTTTTTTTAATATGCCAGCAATATAACGTGACCTTATTCTTAGCGTAGATCAAGAATTAGGTGATGCAAAGTTAACCCTAATTCCTTTAGAAATTGTCGAGCATTGTTCTTGTCAGAAGGAGTAAAAATTTGTTTTAATCAATAGAATACCTTCAGCGTACAATTACTGGGTAAATCGTTTTATGTTCTTGATGAAATAAAAGTGGTTTTCCCTGCTGTGAACGGTGATTAACAGAAACTGATTTTTGTTCCCATGCAGTAGATTTCCCAACACCAAAGACAGAACTGGTACAGAAGTTCCACGTCCAGTACCTGGGCATGCTACCTGTAGCTAAACCCGTGGGTATGTAACACTTCAGTGACTTCCAAAGTACCTTGCGTAAACTCTAAAGGCTGGACTCTGGCTCGCCAAGTGTAAATGCATGATTTTCAAAGGGTAGCAACTCTCGCACTTCAGTCACATGGGTAAGGCATGAAGACATCTAATATTCAGGGCCTCATCTGAACGTGTGCTTTGCAACCATAGTATTTTGGGAGCTGCCGAGAAGGCAGAGTTTCTTTCTACTGCTTTCCCCGAAGATGAGCTCCGCTACTAATGAGAAGGGCCCTAGAGAACTGAAATGGTGCAGCAGCTAAACAAGACGCTATCCTTTTTTTTCTAAGCCAGAGGCACCCGTTTTGTTTTTGCAGATGAAGGAAACCGACTTCCCAACCCGTCATTCCATCATCAAATTAATTTTAATAAGGAGTCCAAAACAATCTGTTTTCTGCACTACTATGTGAAAATAAAAATTTTGTTATTGTTTACTTATGTATTTATTTTTCATTATTGCATTTTCTTCTCTTTTAGGAATGGATACTCTGAACAGTGCCATTGAAAGTCTAATGGCTTCCTCTAGCAAAGAAGACTGGATGCCAGTTACCATGAATGTTGCCGATGCTACTGTCACAGTCATCAGTGAAAGAGTAAGGCAGACTGTCTTGTTTAAAACGCATTTAACGTAATACGAGTGCTGAAAACCAGGAGCACGGAAACACTAGTAGAAAGAGTTACTTTACACTAGAATTCATTTGCTTATTTTGCATTTTATTTCATTCCAGAATCTGCAGAGGCTCTTACTGCTTGTATCGGCTTCAGCTTTATTTACCATTCCAAGCATGTTCTCAGAAATAAATTATTATAAATATTCATTAGATACCTAAAACAAATTCAGTGTTATCCTTTCTAGGAATTTTGAGCCTAAAATGTTGGAGGTTAAGCCCTAAGTAGCAATCCTAAATTCCAAACTGTATTGACCTTATTCTTGGTGTGGAAGCCAAGAGTAATATTAAAATCTGTGTTTCACATCACTGTCCTTTTGTAGAGCATTTTCCATGGAGATTAATACAATGAAACTTTCAAATAATGTCTTTTATATATGTCTGTTGATGGGGTACTAAACCAGCGTCTCTGTAATGTACCAGTGATAGGGGAGCATGTTTTGGCATCGTGATAGCCATGTTGTTTTGCTTCTTCACAAAACAAAGCAGTTTTTAAAGTGCACGGTATGCTCAGTGCTAACGCTCAAAGACTTGGTCTTCTGGCGATAGCCTAGAAGGGGAGATCCAGCCCAGGCCTGGGCACGCTGGGTACCTGCAGACAGATAAAAAGGAATTCCGCAATACTGCATCAGTGTCGTCCCCCCAGTTAATCAACTTAAAACTGAAAGTAAAGTTCCACAGAATATCCAATAGTAATGATGAATCATTTGATTCATAACCAGAATGAAGAGGAAGTCATGGTGGAGTGTCGTGTGCGGTTCCTGTCCTTCATGGGAGTCGGCAAGGACGTTCACACATTCGCCTTCATTATGGATACAGGAAACCAGCATTTTGAGTGCCACGTTTTTTGGTGTGAACCAAACGCAGGCAATGTATCAGAAGCTGTTCAGGCTGCTTGTATGGTAAGTGACCTTCTTCAAAGGCACCTAGTAGCACTTAGATTTTTCACCGCCTCCATAAATAATCGTCTTTCCGAATTGGCCATTATATTCATTTCAAGACAGAAAAAGAAAAAACAGATAAAAATAGGAATTGGGGTTCTGATACATTTAATCAAACAAAACCCAAACATTTTTAAGTTTGAAATGTCAATTTAGTGAACAATGCCCCTTTAATCATCTTCCCTCCTAACCTCTGCAACATCTGTGTAAGTCAGAAATCTCTTCTTTCGCTACACAAGTTATCTAATGCTAGAAAAACATTTTGCTCGGAGTTGTGTTATACAGTCCAGTGACAATGTCGTGAAAATAATCCTTGTTCAAGAATAGCTGAACCCAGGAAACTTATTTTTCAGTTTTCAAAGGGCTGTTCGTATGATTTAGTACCCATCGTGTGCTAATGAAGGTTCTGCCCCCAGATTGACAGACCAATGTCCCATTAACTTCAGCTGGGCTGTTTGTCACGGCCAAAATGGAGGTTTGACTACATTTAATGAGAAAGGATTAAAAGTGTATTTACAATGCTCTGTGAAAGTACTGGATACAGTAAGGATTGCAGAATGCTTTTGCTTTGTTGCAGTTACGGTATCAGAAGTGCTTAGTAGCCAGACCTCCTTCACAGAAAGTTCGACCGCCCCCACCTCCTGCAGACTCGGTGACTAGAAGAGTTACAACTAACGTAAAAAGAGGAGTGTTGTCCCTCATTGACACTTTGAAACAGAAACGCCCGGTCACTGAGATGCCATAGCTGCGTAAGAGAGAAGATTCTCCTACCACTTAACTGAAGATAACAGTAGCTACACTAAGGAAAATGAACTGACGATGTCTGGCCTTCCGTTTCAAGTTGCTGATGCTTTGTCTTCAGAGAATTTACCCTTACCGAAACAATGTTAGACAAGCATGTTCTCTTGTTCTTGCCACCATCGTGTGATATGAAAAGAAGCATGAATAATTTTTTTGCTGTCAGTGAGTTACATCATGAGCGATGGAAGGTCTGTTTGGTTGTAAATACATGAACATTACCTAAACTCACACAAAAAAAGAATATGGCCACATCCCTCCCAGTGAACTCATGCTAAAGTCCTTGGAGTGAATGATGCCTGAGTTGATAGTTTCACCGTCTTGAGCTGGATTTGCCACAAGCCAATCTTAAATCCTACAGCACTCTGCTCTGTTTTCAACACTGGAGTAGGTACCAAGTATTAGCTACCATTGAATTACTATAGATGAAATACCGAGTTTTATTTTTTACAGAACTACACCTCTTAGTTTTAAATTGTTTGTCAGCATTGGTCTAGCAACCACTTTGACATCTCCCTGACATGCTTTTGAATCATGGTGTCATTATTTCATCTCCTGGTTATACATCACGGTCTTAGAGAAGAATCGTGTTTAGTACCAAACCGATGCTGAAAAATCCAGAAGTGTTTTCAGTAACTGAGTTGCTGGGTGATCCACTGAAGCTTTGCAGCTTTAAACATACAAACGCAACTGTTGGCTGTTAAATTTATTCTCCTAAATCTGTCATTAATTCATCAAAAATACCGTTTGTATTTCACGCAGGGCTCAAACCAATCAGGAGTAAAAAGAACTAGTCAGTAGTTTTATTGTCTTACAACTCTTATAGAGACTAAAATACTCCATACCTTTTCCATACGAGTGTTTGATGAAATGTTCAATTCAGCGTCTGGTTGCACAATCCCCCTCCCCCCTCCCCCCCCCCGAGTTTGTTGCTGAATCCTTAATGTGCCACAAAAAGAACAATCACGTTTCTTGTTATTTACAAAATTCCATGAAATTTCTTTTACTTTTAATGCTCTTGTGACAAAATAAGGAGAGAGTTGTTTTCTAACAGGATAGTGCTTTGGGTGGTACAACTTGATTTCAATGCTTTTGCTCCAAAGGCTTCATCTAACTGCTTTCACTTACACACCACTGCAAACCCTGACAAAGTCAGCCCAGTATTGCCCCTTAAAATTGCACCTCGGGCTAATTTTCAAACGCACTTATGCATCTTGAGTCCCTCCCTTTGCCATCTTCTGTCTAGACCTGCAGATTGGTACAAATTTTGGAAATGGAACGTTACAGGTATTTTGAACTAGCGTTAAAAATGTTTTGCCTCCATTTATAGATACGTTCCAAATTGTAACCGTCTCCCAAGTCTGCAAATCTGGTCATACCGTAATTTTAAAAGAACATTGGCAAGCTTGTTGTTACAAGAACTCTTTTTTTATTTTACTATGCAAGAGACTGTTATAAACAAACTATTTTCTTTTTATTTCCTTGTTTAAAGAAATTAACGGCAACACCTGGGCAAAACAACTTAGGAACACAAGGGGAAGAGAATGATGATTCAAGAAATTTCTGCACTGAAAAATGCAGAAAAACCATTAAACTAAACGCAGCGTGATGTATGAGCGAGTGTCAGGTGAAGGCTAGCTATGCAACTGTCGTCATTAAGTGTAGCTCTCTAGAATACCAGCTGAAGAGCTGATCCTCCACCGATCTCAAATCTCTTTCTGACCGGGATTCTGCACCCCAGACACTGAAGCGATTGTTCCCCCTCCCAAGGCTCGCATTCCCGCTACCTCCTTTGCACCAGCTCTGTTGCCGGTACAGCTGGAGGAGAAGTTGCTTGGGCCAAGCAGGCAGGGAGAACCGGAGGCGAGGGGACACAAACCACCCCGCCCCTTTTAGCAGTACCAATGGTTAACTGACCGTGGAGCCAGAGCGCGGAGCACGGCGATGGCAGCTCGCATACGTGCTTGTTTAGTTCCCAGCGCTGATCCCAGTGGCGTCTGCTAGGAGCAGTGTGAAAACTCGCTTCCTGTCATGACTGCTACCAAAATGTGGTGGGTAACAATGTACCTTTAGGTAGGATCGTGAAGTTAAGAGAGGAAAGTTTCCTTATTCGTCATCGTGCTAGCGATTCAAACTTTGACTTTACTTCATTTTAAATTACAGAAAATCCTTTGACAGTGAGTGTCTTTTTAAAGTTCCAGCTGGAAACGCCAGGATTTGGGATTTGCAACTGTTCTACAACAGTGAATTTTAAACAGTGTAATTAAATTTTGTAGTTGCATCTGCACAGTGCCGATTCTCCCCGAGAGAGACCCGGGCTCTCTTTAAACTAAACCGACACTCGGCAAACAGCAATGTAAAGATTCTCCTACATCGGTGTTGTCGAGGCTATGAACATCTAGTTAGCTTTCACTAGCAAAGCGTGCAATTGCAGGAAGGGCTGAGGAGAAGCCAGAGGAATTTGAAAAGCCGTAGGTCACTTGCCAATATATGTTTTCAGAGTTTTGTGTCTGTTAACAAAACATTGTTGATTTTGCAAATATTTCAGTAGCGTGCTTAATGGCCTGACTATACGCGGCCTTTTTGCTTCAGCAGAGCTCCTTATTCTCCGAAAGATTAAATATACACCCAGGTGTTTGCAGAACCAGAGCCTAGTATTGCAAAGCCAGTTGTCTTTTGTTAAACAATATATTAAGACACTCTTTTTACCATGGCCAAAAACGTGTGTACGGGGTATGTGTGTTTGAGCAACTGCCACTGTTTTAGTTGATGTTATAGTGACCCTTCAGTTATCTATGCATTTTTTTTAATAATACCTAGTGACTGTAGGCAGGCAGCCATGTTCACTATGCTTTGTATGTCTGACGCCGTATTTTAAATTAACCTGTTAAATACAGCTTAAAATATTTTTATTTTATTTATTCTGTTTTTACTGAAATATCCTGCATTATTATGTTGATGTATTGTCTTTACTGGACGTGCACTTGTAACATTCTCCACTCTGTATACTGTAGGTCGCCTAAAAAAAGGCAGGCTTTGTAATTATTTGTAGTCGCATTTTTATTGAAGTCTGTAGAAAAATCATGTAAAGCAAAGCTAATTTCTTAATTTTTTCAATGCAAGCAGTAAGTTAGAGGTAAGTATCACATGTCAGTCACGTCATTAATGTGCTCCCTTGCAGAAGCAAGGACATTTATATTCACAGTCAACGACTAGAGATAAAAGCCTTTCTCTTGAAATCTGCAGTGCTGGCTGTAGGTTTTATCTGAGCCACTTAACTATTTCATCTGAAGGGGAGCAAGGGGGTGTGGGAGGTGTAAGGCTAGGGAGGCCACCTACAGGGTGGTTAAACAGGAATAACCAAAATTGCATGGGAGGGCACAGAATCCATTCATAGTCAAATGAATTCTTTCTTAGTGTATACTTCGTGTGCAGTCTCACCTGTACCTATTGAAACAATATGCCCTTTTGTGACAGAGGAAGAAAAGCCGTGGAGCATCTACTAGCTTATGCCCGTTCTGTGTCACTAAGAGCTCTACGTCACTTTCCTTTTAATTTTATGAAGGATTTTGTAGATGATTTAACTAGGGATCTAAAATCGTTAGTAAATCACCCATGGAAAGAGAACTTTCTTATTTCAACAGCCAATCCGGGCTCGGCCTTTACAGCGTTACCATTAACCCCATTACTCCTTTCTTGGGCAGGTTAATTAATACATTGCTAAGGCTTGTGCTGTACAGTCAGCAAAAGCAGGTTTGATTTATTTTAACAGCAGCAAGAAAGAATGAAACACCCAGTGTTTATTAGCAGAGCTCAGTCTTACGTAAAGCACCTGATTGACGCCGAAAAGGACAATTTTCCCTGCTGTTGACCACTTCTCCACATTTAAATGTAATCTGTTCTGAGAATAAATTTAGCTGCATAAAATGATTGTCTCAGCTGTTACTGATCCATGAAACTGGGAAATTATTTCTTCTGTTCCAAATTGTGGTTGAGGGGAGGGAAAAACATACTGGTGGTTTAGAGGCAATAGCAGTACAATGGACGCTTCTGCATCTGGAAAGCTTGAATCAACAGTTTCTAGTAGAAAATGACAAATGCATAACTGGATGAAAGAAAATTAGTTACATAAGATACAGTTTTACTGCAGAAAGTCACCGAGCGTTTAACGGAGCATACAGGCTTCTACCTACGAGCCATCTGAAGTCAGCCCCAGATGTTGCCACCATCTGATGTTCGGTGCATACAGAGTAAGCCGGTGACCTGCAGAATCAAAAGCTTCAGTACCGGCTCTTCGCTGTTCTTGGTGAGACATCAAGATTCTAACTGGTTTAGCCTCCATAACGTTTCAAAGACTCAAACTCCTGAAAGCAAGATGAGGACATCATGAGGCGTATTATATAGGTAGCCCAGAAATTCTATCGTCAGACACATGTATGTTCATTTAGAAGTAATTTTAATTACATTCAATAAATGAATGACACAGATTTTGATTTTAAAAAAATAGTTTAGTTCTCTAACTGCAGAATCTCCAAGTTTATTTTAAGCATTTAACAGCCATACTGAAAAAAACCCAAATCTCCTTACTGTCCATTCCTTTTATCTAACACATAGAATCTCTCCTCCTCCAAGATGGTTTTGAAATAAAATAGGGAATTTTTTTTTCCAGTTCTATATATTGCATGCACACAGGTCTAATCTGTCCTTACAAGTTTGTTCAGAAACAAGAGCAGAGTTCATCCTTTTATTGGAACAGGTAAGGAGCACGGGTCACTCACAGGGGTATGGCAGCAGGTGAGCGATGCCTCTGAACAGGGCAGCTGGCTGAGATTAAAATGCTAAAAGAAATTTTCACTGATTCAGTGAAGCAACAATATTTATCTGATGAACAAGAGCCCGCTGTCTACACTGCTGGTGTAATATCATTCACATCCTTTCTTCTAAAGGTAGTGCTGATCCAGCCACATTGACTGGTGTGGGTGAGGAAGAAAATAGAGATGTTAAAACATCTTCTCTGGATGGGTCTAAATCCAGCCTCAGGTATACATCAAATAGGTTAAGATTCCATACCATATTGTCAACACTACTGGCAACACTCTTACCAAATATCATAAATGTTTGCCTAGAGGAAAACCTCTTCAGGGCCGCAGCTACCTTTGCCCTTCTATATTGCTATGCTGTCTTTGTTTCATTTCTACAACAGTGTACCCTAAATCAATACAATTCTTGAGGTTCCTCTTACAGTCATTCCATCATTGTTTGCCATTTTCCTTCTTTGTACCGTCCATGTTTAATACTAAATCAGATTCTTGTTAAAAGTATCTCTGGGTGTCCCTTTTATCCTCTGCTCAGATTATAAGACAGTTGTGGATATTTACAGTTATTTTATTTTATATTTGCTCCTCCTCCCATAGCAAGAGGGAGCAGGTTAGAAGCCCACGGCTGTTTCCAAAGACAAACTACTATGTGTTCAGTCATTATTCAGCTGACTAGCAGTAACATTTATAAAAATAACTTACTTTGACAGTAGCAGCTCTTTTCAGCTGAAGAACTGCTTGGTTAAGAAAGCTGGTGAAAAGCAGTTATGAGCCATGACGTAGTCTGACATGACATCGTGATGGCAATTCAGTATTTTTAGCATGAGAATATTTTATCTGGTTTTCATTGTTAATACTTCAAAGCACACCTGAGTAGAAACCAAGGGAGTAAGTACTAGAAAGCCCGTGCGTGGACTTCAGTGTACTGGGCCAGTTGCCTGTACAAAAGTTCACATCTAGTTTTAACAATAAAGGTGAACTAATGGCTTACTGTGCAAGGCTTTGTTTCCATGTGTCACAGTCTAAATGGTAACTCACAAAAATGGTATCTAGCACTTGTAAAGAAAAATAGCCACCTACAAAATGCAGTCTCACTTTAAAAAAAAAATCAATTGGAAATTGAGTATTCCTACAGATCTACGCAGGTCATGGGGCGGGGGGAAGGGTATGCTTTAACTTGTCACTTCAGAGCGTATACCAAGAAGCTACAGTTTTTTCCTCTCGCTCCCCCCACGGTCTATCAGCCTTGTGCCGCTGAGCTGCATTCACTTTAAAGTGTGATTACCAGTTCAAAATTACTATCTAACATGGATATTTCCGTACAAATATCCCATAGTACATCTCTTTCCCACAGCAAGATTATTCTGCATAAAGATATACTGTAATCTAAGTGTACGGATGAATATATACAGGCATCTTTACCTTCTGTATAAAGGCAGGGCAAAGTGTGAAGATTCCTACAGCCACGGTCGAGGATGGCTAAGCACAGGTGGCTTGACCACTTTAGCCAGAGGTGGTGGAAGTATCCTACCACTCGAACCCTTTGCTCCGCTCCAGCCGTGAAAGCAATGAGCTGATACCCTGGGTTTGCTTCCTTGCGGACTTACGTATGGTGTTATCACTGGAGGCAAAACAATTTCCACAGGCTTCAGTACAACCCTTTTATGTTCTGCACGTGCCTTTCTTGCAAGTGTCTGTCTTTCATACGCCTTGCCCACAGATGACAAAGGAGATGTGTGCTTCAGCACTTTAGGCAGAGCTATGTCTGAAACGGGGTTGATGATAGATTTCTTCAGCTGAACACAGCTGTTTGTTCGGTTCACATTCTTTTGGTGTATGTTACTGACTGCTTTAGGCACGGAAACTTCAGCCTTAATAGTAGATACAGTTTGACGGTGAAGGACTTCTGCAATCTTCGGCTCTATACTACCACCAGTAATATTACTTCTACGTTGTGTTACTTTCGGATGCTTTTTCTCCTCTTCCTTTGATTTTTCTACAACCATGCCATCTAGTAGTCCTTTTGCTGCAGCACGAGCCAAAATGTCTTTAACAGACACCCTTTCAGAAGAATCTTTCTGAAAATTTCGAAGGAAACAACAATAAATCTAAGCCACAACACAGAGCTGCAGACTCAATACTTTAATCCCCGATTCCTCAGAAGTTATTCCACGAGAAAACTATGGCCGAATCTAGCAGAAAGACTTAAGTCACATGCGATAAATGCTAACCAAGCTATTTATTCAAGAAATTAAGACGATGACTGTTGTGACAAGTGCTATCTGAGCATTTGCTCTTCAGAGACTTTGCCCTCTACAGGCCTAAAGAGGGGAAACTGAATTCTGGGCTTGGCACTACATACCTCCCACATTGACTTGCTCTGTAACATATCTGTAATAGCATATATGTGTACATGTGTGTGTATCAGAAATAATTACTAAGATAAAGAAATATTATCAATAACATGAAACATGATTAATTTTCATGATAGTGAAAATCTGTGCTCATAATACATAAGCAAGAAACTCTCAAACTAGATTACATATTTGGATATTGCCCTGGTTCCTAGTTAAAGAGAAGCGATGGGGAAGAAACTATTTACAACTAGCCAAGAAGAGGGGTAGGTACCTGAAAACCAGAAATTTCAGTTGAAATTATGCTTCTTAGTACAGATCTTATGCCTCACAGAAAATGCTCGTTTCTGGAGTCACCTAAAAACTGGCCATTGATGCTATTAGGAGCAATTGGTTCTGTGCATTAGAATTTGACTCAAAAATTATTCAAATCAAGTGAAGTGTTTCTTCCCTGGAGGGAGAGAACATGGTAGACAGATGTACACAGCGTGATTAACTAAAACTTACTAGCTCAGGGAGCCAGTTTAAAAAATATTCTACATTGAAAAGAGGTCAGTAATAGATAACTTGAAAGGCTTTCCATGTGTGATTCTCTAATGAAGTCTTCCTCTTCTAATTCTCCCCAAGACACAAGCTTCTTTCAAGCACTGTAATTGCAGTATGACAGAAAGTGGTACAAATAACCAAGTAAGATCTCATATCTTTAATTTTCAATGAAATTCTAATTAGCCCCCCCTTCCTCTTTTGGTGAAGAAAGTCCTACTTTTCTCAGACACAAGAGGAAAATGTTGATGCTCAGAGATGCAAGCTAGCCCTTTAAGGCCTTTCTTCAGGAATCCTGCCAAGAATTCCCCATTTACTCAGCAGAAGTCCCCTGCCTTTCAAGCCAGTTTTGCATATGCCTTAGTTTTGGAAGGAAACAAATTCATAGCTGTTTTATTGAAATCATAATGAAATCTTAATCCCTACTGGTGACACTGATGCTTGGAAACTGCCAAATCTTGGTGACACATACAGACACAACAAATAACTTTACTAAACACAAGTGAGTCTGATCAAGCTGTGTACTTCATGCCAAGGTGTGACAGCAACAATATATTTCCTTTAAATGTTCCTAGCACTGACTTAGATCAAGACGCTGCTGTGATCACGAACAGTTCCAGACAAAAAGGGACATGTTGGAAAGCTGTGCTCGGCATAAAACTCTAGGAGTTGCACGTTTCAACTGCTCACCTGTTCTTTGGTCTTTTTAAGACAACTGAAGAAGAGCCAGGAAATTTTTTAAATGTTCCATTTCGTATATTCTTGTGTGGAAAAGATGCTTCTGTGAAGCATTTTTAAATGGTAATTTTCTTAGCTTACCTCTCTTGCCAGAATAGCTAGAAAACAGCCACTGGAAATTTCTGATGGCTCCATTTTGAAAAAAATTTCAGTGGAAGTCTTTGAATTCAAGCAAGTAGAAAAAACAGGAGGAGTAAGCCTGTAAAAAAAAAAAAATGACCAGAAGATAATGTTTAAGGATATAAAAGGAAATAAACAAGGATATATTAAAAGTAATGTCCAAATTACGTCTTTCAATGACACTTTCATAGAGCCTTATCTTAGTTTTTAAAAAAACGGCAATTCAAGACAGTCATGAGAATTCATCTTTTTGGAATTATTGGCAAAAGTGAAAAAAATTAATTCTAATTTAATTTTTTTCCAATAATTAAATATATTAATCACCAGATAATAAATATGAACATTATTAACAACTATGTTCTTTCTCAGGTCTGCAATTACTGGATTATCGAGTTGTCCCTGAACTTGGGGAATGCTCTAAAAACAGAGCAGTACACAGAAATTGTAAAGGTGTTGACTTAAGAGTTATTAAGTATATGCTCACAATAAAGATTATATCTTTCTAAGCTAAAAATCTTAGGTTAGAAAAATTCGCCTATTTGTAGTAATTGAGTGCGTTTTTTTTTCAAATTTACAGTTTTGCAATGCATCAGTGAGGAAGGAAGAACTAGCCTTTTCACATGTTCTCCCTGTATTCCAGTAATCCCTAGCTGTTATAAACAGGCCTCAAGGACTTGGCTCATAAAGTTTGCTACACTAGTAGTAAGCTGTTTCAGTATAGAAAAACGCTATCAAAATGTCCTTAACGCAATTTTTACCCCTCCTCTTCGCATTGCTGAGGACTGTGAGATACAGCCCCTCCTCAGTGCTCCATGGATCCTCTTGAGACAGAGCTTTGTTGAAAGATGGTTACGGAGAAATGCATTCAGTATTTGTAAGCAATATCCTAATTTGGCTGGCTAGTCCATTTCTAATGGGAAGTCTCCTGACCTGTTTGCTCCCAAGTTTTCACCGTAATCTGAATTTTTTTTTGTATGTCCCTCAGAACTTGGTAAAACAGACTACAAGGCTCACATCCTCCTTGCGTTACTAAATAAAATTCTATGCCCTATGACACATCGGAGATTTTTGCTTTTAGACCTGGTCATCCAATGCAAAAGAAGTGACAATCTTTACTTTGATTGACGTGTACAGATTACTGTTACCAGGAATCCGTTTAACAGGTGGTCTGGTCCAGAAAATTGATGCAGAAATTAACTCAAATTTGACAGGCCAAAGGGAAATGCATGGATGGTTTAGCATCTCCTCTATACACACCTGTTTGCTATATGTACCCTTATGTAAGGTAAAGTCTTTGCTATAAACTGTTTGTCATATCCTTAAGGTAAGGTCAGCTTAGACAGCGGGTACATGTTTGAAACCGCCTTTACAATGTCACAGCCCTAAGACCGGCTGTATGACCCCAAACTCCAGCACAGCCTTATTTTGTTCAGCAGTGCTCCAGCACTGCGGAGTAATTCCAAAAGATATAATATACATAAGCACAACTTCTGTAAGAGTTTCCTGAAAGCCCTCAATTTTCTTGGAAAAGGAAATTAATATTAATTAGAGCTGTGATGATCACACAGGATGTTTTGTGAGTGTAACTTGCCTCTCAAAGCCACTACTGTGAACACAGGGGCTAGTAATTCTGCAAGAGTTTTTCATTCTATCCTGCATTCTATTAGTCAAATAAGTTCCCTAATTAATTCTAAGGAAAGTGTACAAGGAACTGTTGTAAGTAGTACATGCATCTTAAATGGCTTGAGCTTTCATCTTAAGACAAGCATAATCACACTATATATTTTATTTATGGTGTTCTATTATTGCTCTGTTTATGCTGGTTACCAGCAGTTTTATTGTAGCAAGAATGAGGCACGAAAACATTCAAGATACATGCGTGACAGTGAAGAAGGAACAAATTCTGGAATCGTCATTTATGAAGTTCAGTCAGTCTTCTGTCACAAATTTGCTCAGGTCTGCAAAAATCCTAATGTAATTTTATTCTCCGTCTTACCATCTGAGCTTCCCTTGTATTTGAAAGTAAAAGTATAATTTGGTGGTATGACAAGTTTCATGATGTTTCTGCAAAACACTGAATAGATTTTTGTTTTGGCTTTGGGGGGAGGAGGAGGACTGTTTTAGACAAGGGGGAATTTTTTCTGAAAAAATTAAAGCTCCAGAAAAAAAATTCAGATTTTTTTTTTTAATATAAATTCTGTCCGAAACCAGGACAATCTATCATGAATTTATGTATTACCTGTGTTCAAATAATTCAGAGACCGTTATGTTCCAAGGTCCCCCTAGTTCTCCCTGTAGAGTAATAGCTGCATAGAGGTCAAGATGTGACAGACTTCACAAAATTTCAAATCCCAAAGGAAAACACAGTTTACAGCAAGAGTAATAATGCTTTTGGACTACCATAGCATCACTGGCAAGACATACCCTGATTTCATCCCATTTAGCATAAAATTTCAAGCAGGCTGCTCTTTTCTATCGGTGATTTGCGAAAAAGATGCGGGTTTTTGTACTGTTTCTTAACATAATGTGTAACATACCTCTTTTAAAAATTCTTTGGACTGGCCACAGTTAACATTTACCATTTTAATCATGCAAAATTTAAATATAATGAATGATATCTTGAACCACAGCACCTTTCCCCACGATGGCCCAGTCGTTAACATCATCTAAGATATTATAAAAATCTAAAAAATTAGACTATTACTCTCCTGTGCTTTCGGCAACATAAACTCTCCTAACCTGCATCCTGTAATCAACCATTACATCTATGTGCAAGCAAGTGCCAACTGTTTGCATTTATCTACCGTGAGTGAAAGGAAAATCCAGAAAGCACCCATCAGTCTTATAACAACTGCTCCAGCTGACAGGTTGTATAAAGTATACACAAACACATACTTTTTTCATATATATTTGTATTTGTTATGACTACACAGGATGTTCTCTTACTGTAACCTGTCCCCCCAAAAGTCATTCATCTGAATACAGGGACGAGCAATCCTACAGCAGAGGTTCTTATTCTTCTATATTATTCTCACATTTTAAGACTAGGTTTCTTTTTCCTTTGGAACTGATCGTTCTAGGTCAGAAGCTGAGAGCATGCTAGCAAGTTCCCTGACTTCTAGTCTCCATTTTTTCTTAAAATAGCTTCATTCTCTAAGTACTGATAGGATGAAAGAAATAGCTCTACCAGAAGCTCACCACAATGTTATTTGCAACCAGTGATGCTTTCCTTGCATCTCAATTTCAGATGGGAACAAAAATTCTAGATTAAAAAGTCAAGAGGATGCTACTTACTCCATTCCTTTTGATGTTATGAGAGTACTGAGAGGCAGCAAAAACTATTTTAAATGTTAATTTAATGCAAGACACAGATCAGTCTAGGATAAGAATTATGCTACAATTTAAAGTTATACTTTAATTTTTCCATATAAGAAACTACTCATTCCATACCTGTATGGTTGTACTTTATTTCCTTCCACTCCAGATTCCAGTGCTTTTTTCACTACTAGTTCATTTTCTTCTGGGTACACTGAACAAGTGCAGTAAACAATAGCTTGTACTTTGTTAACTACAAAACAACAAAAAAAAATTTCCACTGTTCAAATTCTTCATACACACAGTGGTTTTATTAAGGACTGAAAGCATCATAAAAATTATGCTTGGATGTCACTTCTACCAATAAAATATATCCTCCTGCACACATCAGTATTCAATCTCTAGTGTTTTTTAATAATTAAAATCTTTTCAAATATTTGCAGATTTCAGCACAAATTCAGAGCTGCATCCAGTCTTTTCACACAGCTACCAAAGGAGGGGGGAAGAAAGTGGCAGCATGAAGATGGAGTCAGACTACATTTACAACTTTCCCAAAGCAGAGTATGACCAAGACAGTAAGCCAGTTCTCTATACAATGTTGAAGATTATTGTATTAATGGCTGGTGAACACTAGGACACAGAAACACCTTCAAACTTGAGGAGATTATTACTTAGGGGTTTTGGTTACACGCTTACTGTTGACTAATAATCAGTCTATTTTTAACTATGTAAAAACTGGTGACAGTACAATGGAATTGATAGTACAAGGTCTTCCCAGAAATTGGAGAGCTAACACACTTACATTTCATTGCATGCATCAACTCATTAAGCTGCCTCTCAGCAAGAATACTGAGTTTATCCTCAGATACAGATCCTTGGAAAAGGTCTCTTAGCAATCCTGCATCTAAATGCAAAGAGTTGTAAATTTATTATTGCAACTTGCGTTAGCGTCTTAAAATTCAGCTGTTTGCAGAAAATGCTTTGATAACAGACCTGTTACTAGTAGTGCAGCGGGAAGGTAGGTTTTACAAATTACAATACCAAGGAGTGCCTAAATGATTCTTCTTTCCCTCTTTACCTGTAATTACTACTGCCTCTTATTTGCTTCTATTTAATGAAAATTATACATTGAATAGACTTATACAAACAGTCAATAAAGGAACATAATCAATGGAAAGTTATATACACACTGGTATCTTGAAATAAATTTTCTGCCTATAGCCTTTTTACTTTAAAAGAAAGACTATATACCCTCTGCTCCCCAGAACAATCCTCAAACTTCATACTATCGACTCGAAGCAGACACACAGAATTATGCAAGTTATTTAATATATATGTTTTATAGTAGTCAAAATAAGGAAAGTGGTTTTTATAAAATTATACAATTTACTGAAGCAGCTACCATGTCCAGACCACAATGCTTGAATACTATTTCTACCAGAAAGCATGCGCTAGCTATTGTATCAAAAGTTACCTCCGTGTTCATTTAAAATAAAGTCTATTGGATTGCCAACAGCCAGCCCAGAGCATTGTGGTAGCAGCAAAAGAACTTTTGCCTTTTGAAGTCTTGGGTCTGTTGGTCCAATCTCAGTAAAGTCTTCATGTAACAACTGAATATCTGAAAAAAAAGGAAAAACTCAACAGTTCTACGTGCAAGCAAGCCTGCCTAATTTTAATGTGATAAAGGTGAAGAAACAGTGGTGTTATCATTTCTTCCACAGAGCTAGAGCCTGCTAGACCCAGATCCTCCAAAGCAAGCCCCACTGATTCAAACAGATTGAAGGACTAGCTAGACCTTAGCATCTTCCACTGAAAAGACTGCTAATGGGGTTCCAGAGTCTTGTCGCGTTCTGTTCTGATCGTGTCCTCCGGGTAAACTGGCCAAGTGCACGGGTTTTGGATTAACACTCTAAAACAGCTGAAAATCAGACTGAAAGCAACAGCCAAGACACCAAATAAATGGACCCAAAAGTTCCCAGCTACCAGCTACACCAACTGCTATACAGTAACTACTTCTAAGGAAAAATTCACCCTGACGTATCAGGAGCCTGCATCTATGACATGGTTAATCTGCAACCTTTGATTAACTTGATTGTAGCTGAAGAGCTGTCAGTTCACCTTGTGACAAAAAAATAAGTTGTTACTGCCCTCCCCTCCCCAAGTCCTCAAACAAGGGATCTCTGAATTCTGACAGAATTATGCCATATTTATAAATACCACGAACATCTATATTACAATACTTTATGTGTACCATCTGTTTTAACACCTACTTTTGCATCCCATGTCACTGAACAAGTTCCTCAGTTCTGCTGCTTTTGCTGAAGATTTCACACCACAAACAAAAATTCTGGACATGCTGTGATTTGTCAGCACCGACATATGGGCAATGGTCAGATGGGAACCTATGTGAGCCACTATAATGTCATCACCTGTATTCAACAGCGCCCGTGCAGAGTGTACAGCAAGGCTGCGAGACTTATCCTAGAAAATAATGACATGAAAATTAAGTATGACCAACTAATTTGGTTTCTATGAATGCCAACCTTCTTTTCCAAATTAGGAAAGTATTTCATTGTTTTCATGACAAACGGGAAAGAAGGGAGGAGAAAAACTAATCGGGGATAGCTGCTAATATAGAATTACATAAAGTACAAAACCAAACATCTTATTAAGTCACTCACTAAATTTTAATAATTTAATTCTAACTAATGCATAAGAAAGCACAATATCTATAGGTGAAAAGAATGTAAGTGCGTATCATCCCCATAAGGAGGAACTCTTAGCAACAGCCAGTTCCAGAAAAGACAAACATAGGCCACAATATGCAGAATTCATCCTCAGAGGCAGCTTAACAGAGAAATGCAAAACTATTCACATAGCTCTTGACGATATTTATAGGAGAAATGAAGCCCTTACGGATCAAAGACCAAGATTTTGCTGAAATTTGAAAAACACAGAGGCAGATTTGAATGCAGAAAGCACAGGGACGTCTCAACAAGAGCAAATGATCTCATGCTACAGGTGATGAAGAGAAAAAGAGAGAGTTCAAACATTATCTCCATCAAATTACTTTAAAAGGCAAAGAGTGAAGATATGGACCACAGGTACCATGTTTTGCACCAAATCTGGCAAACACAGATGATAAAGGGGCAGGGCGGGCGCTAAACCTTTACGTTCACATCAATATCTATGTATCCACTTACAGCATTCAAGTACCACCCTACCCCGCCAAAGAGAGCTGGAGTTTTTGAGGGTTCTGTTTCCTCACTTTGAATATTCTTAAGTAGTAATACTCAGAATTTGTTCCCATGACCTATGGGATTCTCATGTATAGTTCTTTTCTGTAAGTCTTCTATTTGAAATATATGTACTGAAATTGAATATTGAATACTGAATTACTTTGTGAGTTGGGTAATAAATTTTGAGGCTAAAATTTCCAGAAAATGCTAAGCATCAAGCGAAAGTGCCCTTTGAAATGCTTCTGCTAAGCACTCAAGAATCAATCAGACACTTCAGGTAATTTGCGATTGTGCGTTGTTGCACCGTTACTCCAGACCACCGCTTTACAACAGGAACCTCTGACCAGGCTTGCCTGGAGAGGCTAATGATGGCAAGTCAGGAAAAAGACCAGTGGGGTTTATGGAGATTTAGGAACCACACTGCACAAAATGCAAAGAAGTCTCACCATTCCATCACAAATACGCAGCTGAAGAGGAAGAGATATTATAATATTAGCATACCATTATCTACTAACTGGGGGTAATGCATATAGAATTACATAGACACTTTCCTCACATTTTCAGAAGTGAGACTGCCTCTTTGACCACTTTTGATGTTTATTTCAACAGTTTTAAGATTAAATTTAAAACATTCTACTAACTTAATTACAGCTATCGCTTATAAGCATTAACATTTGCATGCTAAATTTAGTAAGTGAAACAGTTTCTAACCTTCTGATTATTAAAAACATCCAAAACCTTATGAGAGTATGTTGCTGCCTGACTGATTTAATAGGACAGTCACACAATACACGACCTCATTCTAATGCAAAGCATTATTTTAGTTTGCAGATTATATTACTCAAGGGTGACATCAACTCACCTGCAGTAAGAGTTTGCAATCTGCAAAAAGATCTAAATTAAGCAGTTCTTCTTTAAGAGAGGAAGGAAAAACCAATACATCGTGGCAATGTTGGTCCACACAGTACGTATAACGGTCAAAGTCTGACACAGTTTCAACTCTTGTGAATCCCTTCTTCTCCAAATCTCTGAAAACGTCTTCAAGGCTGTTAACATACAACTCTGACTATTAAATATAAAACAGTTACTTAAAGCAATATAGCTCACATTCATTATAGGGATTTTTGCCTTTTATTTTGTGTGTGTGTGTGTGTGTGTGTGTGTATATATGCGTATATATATATAAAAAAAAAAAACACGCAATACTGCCTCATGCAGGAGGGGAATTCACTCTATTTTAGGCACATAAATTCTGGTTTGAAAAAATTAAGGTAATAAGTCTGATAAAATAAATTAAGGAAGAGGTATGTGTCTCCAGAGGATGATTCAAAGCATCAAAACATAAATTTCCATGTGCTCAGGAGACACTGTAGCAAATTTACTGCTGGAATACTTTAGTTCTTTCAATTGTTTTCAATTTAGCCCAGCTCGTCAGTGAATTTAACGGCTGATATCTGAAATAATCCCTGTGTAAATGTAATAAAGGCATAAATGCCAAGGTTTGCAATGCAAATATCATAAAGATTTAAAGGTATATATGCCAAGACTTGTTTGTTGAAAGGCATTTTCAGACAGTGCCATAAGCTTATATGGTACATTTAACATAGGGTCAATGCAGCAGCTTTCAGCTCAATCTTAGTTAAGGGTTGCAAAATCACAACCAGAGTAAGGCACCTTCTCTATCTTGAAGAGCCTATAACCTAAGCACAGAACACTGGTCCAAGACAAGAGCATGAAAAAAGAATTCTTGAAAATATTATAAAACGGATTACCTGTCTAACAAAATGGGCAACAGGATAACCTGGTATGGTTCATGCATCAGTTAGCACAGAACTGGGAACACCAGTGTTACATATATAGTAGCCCACTGAATATAAGGATTTTAAAAAGTATATTTTTATTTCAAGTTTACACTATCGTTACAGAATAAACACCAGTTTCAAGTATTTTATCTGCCTTAACACGCTTTGCCAATGTTATGGCTTACAGTAATACACCCGCTTTTTAAGAAGTTTTCTCTTTCTCTATTTTTCATCACAGAGTTTACTCACCCATATAGTTTTTTCTAACTTTAATTCCTCATTTATTTGGTGAAAGACCCACACAAGCAACAGAATAGTAAGAAAAACTGTTTCACAACTTTGTCACAGTTCATGAATACCATTGCTGCACTACATAAAAACTACGAACAAACAAAAGGCAATGTTGCTGGACTAAGCAGAATTTACTATACGAAACTTAAATTACTGGTAATAACATAACCTGGAAATTCTAAAACAAGTCTGTAGCAAACCATATCACTTCATATGTAAAAACGTCAATATTAGATGATACTTTAAAGACCTAACCTGATTTTATATGTGTTTATCCAAACACATAAAGGTAAAGCAGAAGCCCTTTGTTCCTGCTTCCGTATGGTTTCTGGTAGAATGTATTCGATTGAAAGAGCATCATGTTTGATGCGACATCTTGCTAGTGCAGCTGCCAATTTGGTCCTAAAACTACAAAAACATAATCACAAGTTTATTAAGTTTTAGAAATGTCTACACCAGCTATTAACATGCAATATTTCTATTACAAAACTATCTTGCTCAGAAACCAAAACCAAAAGTGAGGCCTCATTTTCAAGCTGCTACAGAAAATACACAGTTATAGGACATTTTCTACCCCAGACGATGGTAGATGCAAGGTAGTAATAAATAGCTAAGACTGTTTTACTTAAATGCACACGGGACTGGAATTATGACAGATGACTCTCAAATACGTCAATTTTCTCAGACAGCTAAAAAAAAAAACAAGTTATGTTTTGGAACTGCAATCTGTGGAATACAATAATCAGATTTTTTTGTATGTTTGAAGATACAAATACATATATGTGCAGAATGAGCGCTTGATGAAAGCTGACCTCTAAATGTGTACAGAAACAACACAAGCATGATGGCAACCAGGAGTCAGTTTTATTATTATTACGTGAAAATCTCAGAGGAAATATTCCCAGTCTTTTCTTCCCACAAGCTTTATGCATAATCTTGATACGTGATAATTCAAAGCAAATAAAAATTGCTGGTGAGCTACTTCAGATGCCAAGTTATATTACTGCCCTCCAGGAATACCTTGCACTTATGATATTCATGAACTTTTTGGGCTATTCTAAATCCAGCAGCAACACAATTTTGTCCAACAAATGCCTGTGGAGTTCATCAACAGACTGACGAAAGAAATACTTGAACACTACTTAAAATGTTTATCTTACATATCCTCTTTTTTTGGTTCTAATTACTTAAAATAATAAATATGTAACAAAGTTCCATAATAGCAGTATTGTGAAATAAACTGATATTATTCCACTCCATGACCTCTTGACTCTATTACACTCATATTTATGAATGTTTACTAAGTATTTCTTTTCTTTTCTAAAATTGTATGAAAAAAGTTTCAACAACTCCAAAATAAGATACCTTTTTCTAGCAAAATAATCCACAATATAAAGACGGTTTGTTAGCTGTATTTTTCTTAACTAAAGGAATATGGAAGTTTCCCTTCAAACTAGGTTCTCATTAAAAATAAAAACAAAGCCCACAGAATTTGAAACTGAAAGACATCTGTAATATTGACAACTACAAAAAAAAAGGCACTGGTTATACAAACCTGTATTTCTGCTAATATATATCAACCAAAAAAGTTCTTAGCATGTATACCTGTGTAGGTAACCCTCTATTTTCCGAACTTCTGCTACAGGCTCCTCTTCATCAAAAATCTCTCGTGCTTGAAACTTTCGGTCTTGTAGGTCATAAAGCATCACAACAAGCAAGCTGGTTAATTCATCTGGCTGCAACAGAAAAGCAACTGGATAGAAAAAGTGACACAAAGCATGCCTTACTCCTGCAAAAAGATCCTTATCAAACAGCAGTCTCCCACGTAAGAGGCATTAAAAACTCCAATGAAATGCTTATTTGTAAGAATATGACAGTAATTCCTCATGGAGAGTTAGTAAAACACTGAAGAATTTTTAAAAACTCAAATACACAACTTAAAAAGTTATTTAGCTTATCAAAATTAAAAACATTCTCGATACAGTGTATTATGTGTGTATCTTAATAACTTTTAATGTTATCAGAATTTAACCTTTGAAATTATTTTCTCCTCATAAAGTAGCTCCTTGAATAGCTAAGCTAACAAAAACGTCTTGTCTATCAATTTGTCTCTTGTGGGATTCTTCTGTATCCAACAATGAATAAGCTCAGTTTTAATAACCATTCTGCAGTTAGGACATACGTAAAATCTCCTTCCCATGTCTAAATGTTTAAAACAGGGAGCATCTCCTTCTTAGGGACAGGAATTAACAGCACTTCAGTTACTCTTGTCTGCCTCTTTTCATGAAACTCCTACAGTTCTTATGCCTTCAAAAATTCTTACCTTCTCACAAATATAACCGAAATTAGCTAGAAAATTCAAGGTGTTAGGGAAATACCACCAAACACAAAATGTTACCACGTAAGTCTTACTTCCTTACAAAAACAAGCCAAAAATCAAATGTGTTAGATCATTTGCCTACTCACATCAATCTCCACAAATAACATCAGTTCAAATTCATCTTATAATTTTCAAAGGCATCAAAGACTAAACTGGAAGGAATAGCAGATGACTCTGCCAGCTCTAGATTTTCTTTTCATGTCTAAGTGGGAAAGCATGTTGAGAGAGTAAACGGGACCAATTTTTGCCAGTACAGGTACAATATTCGTATGCAATACAGTTTGCCCAGGAAATGAAACATGGGTTCAATGCATTCTTTTGTCTGATGGGGTTCACTCCATGCTTTCCAACTCCCAGGGACAGGAAGGGAACATGACTTTTTTCCCCACTCACAAGGGGACACAGCAGGGAAAGAAAGCACATAGGCATGGAATGGCTCATGGACAACATCACTGAGAAAGTATTACGCTGCAGTAAGCATTATGGTTCATTCCCCTACCTTCTTTCTTTGAAGGTTTTGATTCCCAGCAGTAAGGTGCAACGAGAATCTCACAAACAACATACCTAGTACCTTGGAGATTGATGCTTTAGACAACTAACTAAAAAGGACAGCAATATTTCAGTCTCAGGTTACCATATAGTTCAAAACAACAAATGTTGTTTTGAAGAATGTTGCAGAATCCTCAGAAAATATTCTAATTACACCAACTCAGAAAATACAAAATTTATTTCCTCACAAAAATATTCACTTACTATTGACTGGCACGGGTAAACACAACTATCTAACAATATTTCTTCAAGAAGATCTTGATCTGCAAAAAAAGAAAATATTGACAAGTTATGCTATGGAATCTACAAGATTCTATGGAAGAAAACCTTAAAATCACTAAAGAAAAAGCTGAAAGTTTAAACATCATGAAAATTAAGGGCAAATTCAATCACAAACAGTAGCAACTCTAAATAAGTATAATTCCTTTACATGAAAAAGTATAGACCTTAAATGTTTGATTTCACAAAATGCTAACACTTAGATATATTTAAATATTTGAGGTATAAGAGTAATCTAGTAGTAACCTGTAGTTTAACAAAAAATTCCCCAGATCTCTACTGTCAGGCAGAAACTAAACACCTTGATTTTTCCATATTTTCTCTGCTGCATCATTTCTGTTGGCAATTCTTGGAAAAGTTTTGTACTTACTTACATTTTAGAGCATTGAAAGCCAGTTCATAAGATACACGCTGGGAATACTCATCTTTAAAAGTCAGCATGGGAGATACTGAGTCGTCACCATACTGCACCAATATTCTATCCTTACGCTTTTCAGTACGAATGCCTTGAAAAATCTTAGCTGCATTTATGTATACGGAGTCGTGATAGCCATTCTTCTCAATCAGAGTCATTGTTCTTTTTTCAACAGATCCTTTTTCATCTGAAATTTTCATTTCACTCAAGTCTGAAGTATCATTTATAACATCCTCATGTAAAGACACCAAGTTACTTTTAGAACCTGGCATTCTTCCAGTTGCTGATTGTGTAAGTGCAAGTCACAATCCTGCTGCCTCTGCAAAAAACAAAGTTTGTATTGAATTACGAAATTTTCTTTCACTAGAATACACCTTTCCCTTCATTTTCAGGTTTTCAATAGAATTTATTTTCTTTTTTAGGCTCTAATCCTGCAAATACGTATATACATATATCATGTATACTTCTATACGTCTATCATCTTACATATAGTAGAGAAGTATTTATAATAGTTTTCTTACCTTATTTATTTTCACTAATGCAGATACAAAGACTGGTTACTTGTTTCAAAGAGGCCAGTGCTTTACAATAAATGATCCTAAACAGACTACATGCAGAGATTTTATTCTCTGTGTCTAATAAGCAGCATTATTATTGCAGTCAGAATAGTATGTCTTACTAGGAATTCTCCTTTAATAAAAAGACACTACAGAGATTTCAAAGCAGCCATCATCACTTCCAAAGAAGAACCATCTTGAAAAGAATTGCAGTGAATTCCACATGCTTGTCCACTAAACTGCGTATCTGTTCCTAAAAATGGATAACAGAGATCACCTAAGTGTTAATGTATTTAATGTATTACCTAAACAGCACAACTGTAAATGCAGGAAATCCATTCTGATAATCTCTGAAGATATTAACCAACTCTCCATAAGCCCAGGTGCGTTTCTTAAATTTTCTACACACCTTACATAAACAATAAAATAAAAATTACCTTCCCAGAGGTGGAATAGGGCTTAAAGAAAAAGCGCCAGTGTTAGTTGAATCCAAAAATATGCTTAAGTTCCACATAAAACCTACTTAAAGTATATCCATCACAGTGCTTGGATTTACCCTGCTTGCTCTGGTTGCTATAACATGCATTTATGACAATGCTCGGAGGCTTAGAAGTCAGGTTAAATGTTCAGAAGAGGGCTAAGCCAAGAAGAATTTAGTCATAGAGGAAAGATTTAAAAAAAAAAAAAAAAAAAAAAAAACTCATCTTCCTGTCTGGGGAAGAATAATACAAGAGAACTGTGAGGAATTTAGCAGCTTTAGCACAGAAAGCTAGGCATGGATCTGGTGCCAACAAATAGTTCTGGATATTTTAGGATTAACAGCACAGAACAGCAGAATTTGTTCTTTTTGCCAGTCTAAAAATCCAAAAAAGAAGGTGATACTCTGACCAAGCAGAAAGGATCTTCTCTTTTGCTACATAATTCAGTTCAGTACAACCATTCTCAAGCTTTTTCCCTGCGGTCCCCACATTCCTCAGGATAAATTACATACCTCTTCTGCCCGGGTCAGACATAGTTGCTCAGCATCCTTTTTTCCTCTCCCCTTTCCTGCCCCCATCACACAAAACATAGTGGAGAAGGAGGATGGCAGCGCAGAGGGTTGGAGGGGAAAGGAGGAACACAAGCTGTTATTTCTCCAGCAGGCAGCCATGAAATGCCCCATGCTGAGCCAGCAGTCCCCCGTTCAAACTCTCTTTCCCCAACACAGGTGACACTCAGCCCATTCCTCCCCTCTCCAAGACCGGCACAAGTCAGTGTCCACCCAGCCCAGCATGCTCCAGACAACCGACTAGTGTTGCTTCCTGAATTCGGGCAGCTCATCTGGAGGAGGCCACCTCTCATTCTCCTTTCCCAGGATTTGCTCCTCAAAACAGAGAGCTGCTAACCCTGTGGAAGCAACTTTTACTGTCTCTTTACAGAGGTCCTGGGCCTCAGACAAACAGCTTCGTCTGGTGGGAGTTAAGCTCCAACATCCCTAGTGTTAGATGCAGCACTGACGGATCGGATCCATGGTGCAAACATAAATTTATTTTATTAAGTCATATTGAAACAGAACAAGCAGTGCTATCAAAAGAAAGCACTACCCTTCACTAGAATAAAGTACCAGATTACCTAAACCAAACTGAAACTCTTGTGCTTAGAAAGGAAAAAAAAATCGTAAATGCTTCCAGGATGCTTTACACTCATTTGACCAGAAGACGTGTGTATGACTTCACAGAAACGAGGACAGCATCTAAAAGGGACCTGGAGCTCCAGGTCCCCTTCTCCAGCTGAACACAAAAATATTCCTTTTTAGAATATGTAGCAAGTGAACTAATGTTTGTGGTGTCAGGACTTTCAAGACTTGTAGGGTTCCCGATTACTGTTTGTGACTTCTTTGCCAAAGCCGTTTTTGCTGACCTGCAAGACACACTGCTATTAAGATGATTTGATGAATACACTTTCCCCAAAGACAAATGTCATCTTAATAAAGATGAGATGACAGTGCTCTGCCCTGTGCAGACACACTGTGTGGTTGCAACACTGTAAACCATAGCTTGGATTACGGAACTCTGTGCCAAGCAGAGAACACCAAGCTTGATTAATATGAAGCTCAGTTGGGAAGAACTAGAGAAGAGAGAAAAGACCCTGCCTTTGTCTATGGAAGAAATGAGCTGAATCTCAAGCAGATTACTCAGTTGAGGGGAGAAAAAACCTCAAGGTCCCAAGGAGGCCATCATTCTCCTAAAAGAGAGAATGGCCTTCAAAGTTCAAAAAGACCTTTTTTCCATCGTTTAGTTAAGAAAATCTTCAAATGAAACATGAATTTGTTGTGTTAGGGGGTCGTTGAAGAGAGATGAAGAAAGAATGTGAGAATAGAAAAAAATAAAATCAAAGTTTATAATATTCCTGAGTCCTACAAACGCTAAGCCAGTCTGATTTGGACCCAAATCCAGCATCTCTCCATACAGTCTTAGCACACTGATTCAATGTTAAAAATACATACATACTCTCAGTGATCTGGCTGACTAGAGGTACAACTGCCTCATCTACGAAGCAGAAACTTGCTGTTGCAGTAAAGTTTCCAAGTTCTTGCCAATACACTTCCACACAGTTTCCCTTAAGCTTGATCAGATTTGCAAGTTAGAGTAGTAGCGGGGTATGCAGAAGAAGGGAACTTAAAGACACCTGTGACTAAAATTTAATGGATTGTTACTGGACAGCTGTTCTCCATGACACCTAGAGTTTGTGTTGTAAACAGCAAGCACCCACCTCAGGACAACGTTGGTTGTGGAAGCACAGAAAACAGACAAGGAAGTATCTCCCCACTTCTGCTTCCAAGTCATAAGCCACTAAACTGATGACAACGATCAGGACAACTCGCTGTTAGCACAACAGTTCAACGAGCAATACCAGTAGCATCACAAGGCAAAGGGGGTCCTTCTTGTGTCCATTATCTGCGCAAAGGGACGTACAAATCTCTGTTCTGAAAACACCTGTATTATGGATGCAGACAGACTCCCATAACACAAGTTACTGTTATCCAAGTACAAACAATACCAATAAAGATAAGAAGATTGCAGGTTTCAAATAGTAGAGTGGGAACTAGATGGCTCCAGCTTTGACTTAATGAACTCAAGTGAACAGAATTATGACATTTATTCACTAGACAGCATAGTAAAGGATTTCCACACACACGCACCCCCATCAAAGTCACTAATTCCTCTGTTTATATACCGATACGTGTATTTTTCCTATTTCTTCAGTTATCACCTTTTTCAGTAGCCTCTACTATTACACAATTCGGCAAAAGCGATAAGCAATAAACAACCCCACAGCATCTGCGTTGTATCGGGTACGGCAGGCAGCCTGGCCACCCAGTACTAATTCACATTAACAAGAATTGATGGAAAGCGGCTCTGTGAGCATGGACATGGCTCCTCATACACCAACAGTAAATGCTTGACAGCCACATACTGCAGTTCTTTTCTTACTAATCTTACGGGTATACGTAACTACATCTGCTTCCTAACATCAGCTGAGACTGTCTGAACAGAGATTCAATGGATCGCAAGGCTTCTACTGTCCCCAACTTCAGTTAACTAAGCTGGAGGGAAGGGAAGATTAATGCAAGTTAGGAAAAGAAAAGTCAGCCGCGAGACCATTCCCCAACCCGGCTTTATTTACGAGAAACGATCCACGTCTGTCAACTCATAGTACAATCATATGGAAAAAAGATACTTCTTTGTATAAACGCGCATAGCGTTTCTTGAAACACTGGGCTGCGAGGCCTTAAAAAACAAGCAACCCCCCCAAAGCCATACAGGTGCGGCCGGGGCGACTTCTACACCCTTTCCCTTTTTTCCTGACAGGGTTTCTCCCGCTCCCATCTCCCTCTGGGGATGGCGGCGCCGGGCGCTGCGGGGA